CTAATTGCGATGCTTTTAAATCCATCGTCATATAAAGATTTAAGATCTTTTGTAATTTTGTCACGATCTTTAAAAAAAAAATGAAATTTTAGATTTAGAATTCAAAATTTTCAACTTGTGAAAAAAATTCAAATAAATAATCATTATTACCTAATTTCTTGATAACTCTAACATATTCGCCAGAAATTCCTCGATAAACATCATTTGATAAATTTGATTTGCATTCTGATTCATTAACAAGAATTACTTTCAAAAAAAGAGTATATATATATTTTAGAACTTTAAAAAAATTTTCAAGAAAAAAATTCAATTGGAAAGGAAGTTAATACCGTTCATCAATCTCAATCACTGATTGATATAATACATCAGGTTTACGAATTGACAAATCAAATATTTTAGGTCTGGCCTGATTTCCTAGATATTTAAATAAACCAAAATAAAAATTAAAAAAAATTTGTTTCTGTGTAAAAAACATAAACAGCAACAATAACAATGTAGCATTTACCGATTAATAATAAATCCTATATATATATATCAACATATGATAACAATAAATAATATATTTAATTATAACATTAATTAATAAAATCAGGAATGGAATGGAAAAATTTACTTTACCTTAAATCCTTTTGTAATCAAAAGTGCACTTTTTTCACCTTTTCTTTCCAATAGAGCATTTGTAGCAACAGTTGTTCCCATCCTTATAGACTCTTAACAAAAAAAAAACAAAAAAAAACAGTAAGCGTTATGTGTATGCACACGCACACAGTACAAATATCTACCACACACACATACGATATATACCTATGAATGAGGTATCAATTGGTTTATTTTTAGGGAAATCTTTTCCAGTTGCCAACTCCAGTATTCTTCTAATTCCTTCACGCGGAGCATCAGGATAGTTTTGGGGGTCAACACTTAACAATTTTATGACAACTTCTTTACGGCCTTTAGGGTATTCATTTGATTTAGGAACTGGTATGCTACCAATACAATCAGTAAAAGTACCACCTCTATCAATACTAATACGTATTCCAGAAGA